AATTGGGATGCCCTTTGCATAATACGAGGACTGAAAAATATGTCTCCTTTATCTCCAATCGCTCCTATTTTTTAAATATTGTAACTTGTTATCTGAAGTTGGATGTGCTACTTGTTTCTTTATGCCCTGTACACAGAATGGAATAGCCCATAATCTCTCATCGTGAACTACTAGTTTCAGTGTTGATTAGTAAGAATGTTCATGTTCATGTATACCATTGATTTTCATGTTGCCTAATTGGTATGACTGGGCATTGGGTCGGGTCGGGTCGGATCGAGTCGAGTTTGGCCCAAAACTGACCCGACCCGACACACTCGATTTTGGGCTCTTTCACAACCCAATACGACCCGATTCGAATCGAGTCAGATTGGGTCGATTTTTTTTTTTAACCCATTCACACAACTTCAATTCACATTTTCACAAAGGCCAAGAAAGGCTCATCACACACTAATTCATAGCAAAGCACACTACACAAACATAATATGTTGCTGCTTCTCTATTCCTTCTCTATAAAAAATACATTTATCACAAAAATTAGAAGTTTTTCTTCAAAAGTCCAGATCAAAAGAGAGTGAGATAACAAGATGAAATAGTGTAAAGTTGTGCTGAAGAGGAATGACTCTTCAAGTAACTCAGTGAATTCATCGCTTACTTTTAGGACTGTGAGATATGCAGAGTGTCAAAAGAATCACGCAGCAAGTGTTAGACGATATGCCATCGATGGTGCGCTCACTTGCGCCGCCTGTGGTTGCCACTAGAACTTCCACCGCAAGGATCTGATAAGGGATCTGATCAAACGGAGTTGTAGATGATGGAGATCTATGGAAAGGGAGGCTAGGTTTTGAAGGAGAGGATTTCACGGCGGAAATAGCACTATTTGGAAATTGAAAATAGGGTTGGGTTGGTTTGAAAAGATTTAAACCGTGAACCGACCCGACTCGACCCATTTTAAAATAAAATCAACCTGATCTGACCCGACCCGGGTCGGATCTGCAGTTTCGGGTTCATGGGCCCAGCCCTACTAATTGGAATGTATATATCGGTATCTATGGCTAGCTTGACTTGAATTGAATGTAAGTATGAGTTTTCAAAGTTTCAAATAGAATTAAGATTTTTAAACAAAAAAATTTGGAAAATTAGGGAGAAGATGATGAACAACGTTTTAATTGTTTTACTTTTGGTTGCCTCAGTTAAATATTTCAAACCTTATATGGAAATTTTTATATTTTAAATGATAAAACTCTCAATTATTCTGAATGCATATGAATTTATATAATTACAACTTAACTGAAACGCCATAAAAAATATTTTTTAACTTCATATAATTTAATATCAATTTGTCCATGTAACATTTCCGAATATGAAGTGCCAAAATAATTCATATTTTTTGTTCATTACAATTATGAAGACTAAATATTATATAAGTCATGACTCAATTATAAATCCGTCTAACCCGACCCGCATACTTTAATCTTTGTTGATAAGTTGTTATAACCTGACCGATACTTGATTGGGTTGGGTTGGGTTGGGTTGGGTCGGGTCGGGTCGGGTCGGATTGAGTTTCAACATTTACACGAGTTGGGTTAAGTTAAATTATGATCAAACCGATCATGTTGGGTTGTGTTTGGTTTGGGTTGAGGCAAAAATCGACCCAACCCAACCCAACTCAATTCAACCCATGTCTACCCCCTAATGACGTTGTTGTCTAACAAGTTCGTTGATTTCCTACGCATTCTATATATCAATTATCTTTTATTTTCTTAAAATACTAGCAAAATGATATTTTAATTTGCATACAAAATATAAGTTTTACTGAATTAGCATGTCTAATGAAGCTCCGAAAAATATTTATTTCATCTATCATATCATCTTGATCAATCCCCAATCAACTTACATTGGAGTGGAATTTTTTAACATGTTCTGTTTTACTTATATGACAATATTTTTGAAGCAATGTTTGTATAGGGATTAGTTGGCTTTAAATAAAGTAAGGGCATTTTTGGTCTTTAAATAAAAAAAATTAACTATTTTAACGATCAATTGGATATAAATAATTCAAAATGACTTACTATGCCAAATAAATTTAAAAAGTTACTTGTACATTGCCGGGTGTCCATTATGGACACCCTTATGTACACCCCGATGTACTCGTAGCACCTCCCAATAAATAAAATGTAGGGATGTTTGGGCCATGATTTGAAGATTATGGCCTATTTGCACAGCAATCACATAGATAAGATGCCAATTCCTCTTCTTTTAAATAGATAAAATCTTAAGAAAAAAATGTAATTAATGAAAGAAAAATCCTTTAGTTACAAAATATTTCAACTAATATTATTATCAATGAAAAGATTTGTCAATTTCCAAAAAATAGAAAAATTATATTAAAGTAGCTATTTCATTTGACCCAAAAAAGAATGAAAGTGTTTAATTTGTTTTATTTTCCACTCAAATTCTTATTTTTTGGTGTTTGATTGACAATTTTTTCATGAAAAATATTTTCCAACTTTTGTTCATGTGACCATATTTTTCTCAAAAATAAAGAAAACATTTTCTTTACGGATGAATGTCGTTATTTTCCAAGTAATTCACTATCTCTTTCTTTGTCGTATATCTCATCTCTCTCATCTACCCACTAATAAAAAATAGACAAGTATAATATTTTAAAGGTTTAAAACTAAATCAATCAAACTCATTTAATTAATAATTTTCATACAAATAAGTTTTATTCAATTTAGTTGTCTAGAACTTTTTTTTTTTCATACAAATTTCATGTTCACAATCAAATGTACCATTAATTCAACTTTTCTGACAAAAGTTTTAATAGATTCTAATAAAAATTATGAGCGATTAAAAAGTTGATAGAATATATGAATAACATGAAATTTTTAGTTAAAATTAAAATTTAATCAATTAAAAATTAATAAAATTTTATCAAGCAATCTCGAGTATTCAAATTTTCACTATTCCCCCTTTTCTTTAGGGACATTATTCCATTGAGTTAAATCTCTCATTGGCCACTAAACTTTGCAATTCGTAACGACTTACTCATCCAACTTAAAAATTTGTCCCAATGGCTACTGAACTTAAGTTCGTTGCATTTCATTAGGCATAGGATGGATTCCGTCTATGGATCAATCTACGTGGAATGCAAAATAGTGATGTAAGCGTTAAAATTGTACAATTGTCCAACCAAATGTGCACGTAGATTTTCAAATTAGCCAACAACACCTTATCAATTAAGCACCCCCAAACCCTAACCCGTGCACCCCAAGTCCACTTCATTTCACCTCACGATTCTCTCTCTGTGAATTGAGAGCTTGTTTGGGAGGGATTAAAATCAGATTAAAATTGAAAATATAGCCGTTATTGTTGACTTTTGTTAGACGGGTGGGACCCAATAACGGCCATATTTTCAATTTTAATTGGATTTTAAGCCCTCCCGAACGGGGCCTGAAAATCCCAAGTCCAGTCTTGATGATGTGGAATCAGGTGAATGATTTTGTTGTTACATTTGGTTCCTTATCGAATTAAACATTGTCGGGGAAAGATTTTATTGTTACAATTTGAAAAGAGTTCAGTTGATGAAGAGCAATCTGACAAAGATGACAAATCAGTTTTAGAGGAGAAACAAATGGAAGATGCTGAGGATGTCTCATGTAATGCTGCAGAATCCAAAGAAGAATAAAAAGAGTCGCGATTTACCTCCACCGTTTATATACATCCACTTCTAAAAGGATAATTACGTTACATTTTTAATTTTATGTAAATTTACTTAAGTAAACATATATAAATTAAATAAAAATATATTGTTTTAAATATTCACTAATATTTATTTTTATTAAATTCTTTTGATGTTGTGAAAAAAAGAGAAGAGAGAATAAAAGTTAATAAAATTATAATGAAAATCAAATCCCTACATTTATAGGGGTAGGATTAGGGATACAATGGTAATAATTTCTAGGCTGCATTTTTAATTAAACAAATTCTGCAAAGGGCTTATTCAAAGAGGTATTATATGTTCTCTTAATTACTGCTTCTTCAATTTACTCTTCCTCTCGACCAATTTTTCTTCTGTTAAGTTGTCGAAAAACATTGTTATGTCACGAAAATGTCCTAACTGATTTGAAAATTAATATCAGTAAAAACTATTATGTTGAGTTTTAATAAAATAATAGAGTCCGTGTCACATTGAGAGTGACATTGATTATAGCAGTTTATGTTTCATGTAATTTCATCTTATAATATTTGGTCTATAGAATTAATTATTAAATTATGAAAATGTTTATGTAATAGGTAATGGGAATGAATATAGCGATTTTTTAAAAATTTGAAATTGTTTTAGGATGGGATGAATATATAAAATTTGTATGGATCTATAGTGTTTAAATTAGTTGCCTGCAAAGCAAGCAGCTGTTTTTTTTTTATTTTTAAAGATTAAATGTATTTTTTTTTATATATTAATATTTAATTATTATTTATAATTTGTATAAATTACACAAATTTTAAATACCTTATAAAAAAATTATAGATTTATAATAAAT